AAACAGGGCCCGCGCGCGCGCGCGCGCGAAGCTACCTTTTTCTAACGTGACACACGTGTGTGTATACACGCGTGTGCGCTCGCGTATACGCGGGCCCCGCGGGGCCCGGGCGAGCGGACAGGTAGGACGCATAGGTGTTACGGGACAACAGGTAGAACATTAGTCAAGAGCCTCGTTGCCGCTCGTCCGCCTTCGCCGGCCGTTAAAGTCGCGCTCGCGACCGAAAGCTCGCAGCTTCGTTTTATTCTTGTCATTAGCTTCCCTTCCAATCAAAAGAATCGAACTCCGAAGTTCTGCAATTAAATTAGCTTAAAATAAATAAATAATTTAAAAGTAATTAAATACATTAATAAAAACTGATTAATAAATATGTAAATTCATTAAAATCGTCGATTCTTGAGATTCGAGTATCCTATTCTAATCTCTTTTATAAAATTACGTTATTATTCTAATTATAATATAATTGTTTGCCGCTTATACATTTTTCGTATCTATTTTCATAGACTTTCTTCTTTCCTGAAGTTAACCACAGATGCAAATGATGCCATTTCGAAGGAAGTCCTAACAGATCTTTGCTCCTCACCTGTCAGCCGCTGTTACAATCGCACTGCCAGATCTTTACGCCACGTCTCTATTCGTCCTCCCACTTTAGCAGTCGGTTTGGGTGACCCAACAAAAGGGTGAAAATCTCCGTGGTTCTCACGTTTGAGTGTCTCGCAACGCGAGAAATCTGTCAGCCCTTAACCAAGACTTTCGCTCATGACAGATTGTGGACAACGCAACAATGTAACTTTCCGATCGTATCGTTAGTGATACGTGTGTGTGTGTGTGTGGTGGGGGGGGGGGTGTTAATTTTTAAAGCAAACATATCTTTTTCCAAATTTTCGGAGATGTAGAACATTTGTGAAATTAAAAATTTATAACTAAAGGAGATGATTTTTTGATATGTCACTCGATCAGATACTGATTTTAAGGTTAAATACTTTCTATTATTTAAATCTTACTAAAGTCTTTTTTTAAATAGAATATATATCTTCTATCTAGGAGACTTTAATAAAATCGAAATAGTAGAAATGTATTTAATTCTAAAATCAATATCCGATCGCACCGACATATCGAAAAAAAATCATCTCCCTTTGTTATAAATTTTTCAAAAATGCTCTACATCTCCGAAAATTTTGAAAAAAATATGTTTGCTTTAAAATTACATGATACTGGTGTCTTAACTTGTCCTCGAAGTTAGATTCGGTTCGACCGAAACCAATCAGAAATATCTGACGTATCCTAGCGAGTAAGATCGCGTCCCACGAGGATGTTTTTATTCTCACGGAATGCGGCAGCGAGATCGCATTTTACGGTAGTTTCTCGTAATTCTCATGGATCCGAAGTCACGATTCGACCTCTTGGTATTGCCCTCCGCTTCTTTGGTCGATGTATTTTTTATATGTCGTCTTTTTCTATGAATTTCGATACAGACAAGACTTGTAGAGTTAGTCGAACTTCAACAATCGCATGCTTAGGCAAAACGATATTGACTATTTGAAAAATCAGTAAAAAAAAATGTCGAAAACTAGATTGTTTTTTATTGAATAAACGACCTTCCACATTTAAATTTTTACAGAGTAAATAAATGTTTGAAGATTGACGAGAGCAAAGATCGAGCACGCTAAACGCGCACCCACGAATCACCACGATGGGGGGTGATTCTTTGACCTGGCGAGGTGGAGTTTAACGGATCATTTATTTCCATTTCCTTTCAGCACCCCAAACGCGACCTTCTTCTTGTATAATGGCTGCTCGCCATTACGCACTTGAACTCCACATTTTCGCAAAGATCGAACAGTCGAATCGTTAACTTTCTTTATTACTAATAGTTATTTCAGGAATTTACCTATATAGATTTATTACCTATATAGATTTATTTTTCTCTAGCAGTAATGAAAGTCACAAATAGTTTTGAAGACAAAGCGTTTTTCTCTCGGTGAATTAAATTTTAAAAATACAGATCTTCGTAAAATCCTATTTTTGAAATACAACTCCGATAGACGCTGAAGAATCTATCTTGGGAAAAAATACTCGAAGACGACCGCATTATTAAATAATTCAGTTCCCCTTCAGTGCTCTCGATCTCTTTTCAATCCCGCAATCGACAAGCTAAATGATTATTTCGAATAGGGAGGCTCTAAATTCTCCAATTCAGTTTTCTCACTTTTTCCAAAAAAAAAAAAATTCGAATAGACAAACGAGATGTAAAATACGCAGTATATCGTAACTCGCAAGAATTCGCTCGTATTCATGCGAGCCAAGCGAATTCTGTGCTTAATCTGTGCGATTATCGCGAGCGGAACTTCTCCGAGTGTCCTCACGGCCATCTCTCTCTTATCATCTCTCGTCGAAGGTGACACGCCGGCGAGACGTCGCGTAATAGTGACGTCAAAACAGGAATGCGCGAGCAGTATTTAATACCTCGCTCGACACCGGCGCTGTTGATCCGTCCTCCTCGTTAAGCCGAGCGCGCGACGCTTTTGAACGCTCCTCCGTTCCTCCTCGGCGTCTCCTCTTTTTACTCCTTCTCTCCTCGCCTCTTTTTTTTTTCCGCCCACGTCTTCTCTTTTTCGCGTCGTCGTCGGTCGCGCTCGACCGGCCGGCCGCGAAGCGATACGCTCGATAATAGGACAGCCGCGGTTCACCCGGGCGATAATCCTGGTGGCGCATGAATAATTCAGGCGCAAAGTGCAGGAGTAAATTCGCCGTCTGTCTTCGTTTCGGCGTGCCGGGACAGCTCGCTTGACCGTCGCCCGGCTTGACTCTCGCCTCTCTTGCCGTTCCTCGCCTCCTCCTCACCTCCTCCAGGCTCTCGGACCTCGTGGGCTGACCTCGCTTTAAGCGAGCGTGGCGTTTCAGTTTTCCACCGCCGCCGCACCGTCGATCTGGACCGACGTATACACTGATGAATTATTCATCCGTCATGGTCCACCGCGAAAATCGCCGGAGTCGTTACCCGGTCTCGACCCGGCTCCGAAATCTCCGCGCCCGCTGCCATATTCGACACTCGCTGTTGCTATAAATGCAACACTTCATATACAATCACCTGGTCGGTACGAGTAAAAACGACTCGAATATCATATTTTTATTATATACATTTAAGGCTCGCCCATCTCGCGAGAGAGAACACCGAAAATAGTTACTCGGGCTCGATATATTTCGGGGCTTCCATTTAGTCATACCGAAGCTGATAGAAAAACAATTTTTCACGCGTGTGTCATCTCGGTGAGGTGAATTGTGATAAAAATATGAGATGCGAGATAGACTCCACAGTTTGCGAATATAATATTTTAGTCGGACGATTCTACGAGGAATGCGATAAAATAAATTAACCTCGCATATTACCCTCGGTTCGCATTAACTTTATTTATTCCATTTGCGTTATCGATTGGCGGTCGTCTGGCTGAGAAACAACAGAGAATTTTTCCCAATTTCTTTATCAAGAGTTACGAGCGCGGCAATACTTTTTATCTTATTTTTCTCGTATCAAACTGTTATTTAATGTCAGAAAAGAAAGATTTTAAAACATTGATGTCGAACTTAAGTAAATCTAATTTTATTATACTCCCTTTATTTCAATGCGGAATAACGATTTCATATTTCGATGCTGCTGTTGCACATTTAAATATCGGGGAGAGATCGATAGCACTTAAAATTCATACATTAATAGCTTCTCGCCCGTGTGGAAACGGCGGTGATACGGCGAGGAATGATTTTAGCTAGATTTCCCACCTTTCAACAGGATGAGAATTATTTATTCATTCTTCAAACGGTAAAAACGACGGGCTTAACGCGATCGCCCTCGACGTCGATGCCGATCTAAGTAATACATTCAGCCTTTCATTAGTAGGACACTTAATTAGCGTTCGAGGAGAGAAAAATATTTTCAGGCTAATTGCGACGAGCTCCGTCTGTCTTCATTACGTTTCCCACGATGCGCTCTTAATCGAATTCGCCGTCGTTTAATTCTTTCCCTCGGATTTGGAATTCGCATCACCGATAACTCTAATTCGATATTAAACGCGAGTACATCATTTCGAGTTGCCCGAGAGTTATCGACATGCCGATAAATTAGCGTTATTGGACGTTTAATAATAATCTGTATTACTAAGGATACGCTATCGCGCTTACTCGACAGTTTTATGTCCGACTTCCGTACTGGAAATATCAAAATATCTCCGTAAGGCGAGGTCTATTTCCAAATGTGATTGACAGCGCGCAGTTCCTGATGAACCTTAATATACATGGACTTGTCACGTATTACAGGAAATAGAATTTCCTGAATTAGATCCCGGATTTGTAAAACGAAAGGCGATTTAGCGTTTTAAAGATGAGTCGGTCTATAGCACCGGTCATCTATTCCGAGAACGATATATGGTGATCGCGGATGTCAGGATGGTCAGTGTGGAAGAACGGTTGATTTAATCTTAAAATACCTTGAATTGGATCTTGGCAATTGATAAATCAATAAGAGGATAATAAAATATCCTTTTATTGGCGTAACATCATTTAAAGGTTATTTCCAACACGTATTATCACATTTTCAATTTTGAATAAAATAATAATTATTTTTTTATCACTCATTTCATTTTACGTGTATAACAAACGTGATCGAGTTAATAATTGAATTATTAACTTGATAATTTTACCGTATTTTAAATCGTATTTTAACGTATCGATTTAAGGATGTATTACACCTATTTTTATAATTTTTATATTTATAATGAAAAAAATTATGAAAAATTTTCAGATTATTCTAAATCGTATTTAAAAATAATGTAACAAAGTTTAGAATCTGGAAAATTATTTAAATATAAAATAGAAATGTATATTAATAAACATATATTAATAAAAGTGTAATTAATGACAAAAATCCCAATTTTTTAATATAAATATTTTAAGTATTCTATTAATCTTTAAATATAAATAAGATAATTTATATAAAGTTTTATCGCGCTAGAAATTAATTATTCCGTAAATAATAATTAAATTTATTAAGAATATAATTTACTAATTCGCCGCAAAATTTCTTGTACTACTTTAAAGTGTAATTTAGAATAATCTATAAGTTTTTCATAATCTTTCGTAAATAAAAATAGATGTAATACATTCTACGTTCATACACACACACACACACACACACACACACACACACACACACACACACACACACACACACTATTAACATACATACATACTATTCTGTAACACATGATACACACATAACAAATTTTCGTATTGCTTTTGTGTATTACATCAGGTATCTAGCCTAATCCTAAAAACTCAACGTTGTTTCTTCATATAATCTTCTAGTCTAGCAATATCAGTTTTGTAGGTTCAGGTTCAAAATTTTTATATAAAGTAAATATTGACGTGACTTGACAGCTTCGGCATATTAAAATAACAAATGGTAAAAAAAAATCTAAATTTAAAAAATTTTTCTCGTTCTTAATACGAAATTTATATGCTAGATACGTGTTAATATATATAAACTTTAATTGTGGAGAAGAATTTCCAAATCTATCAAATTAATAAAAAATTAAAGCGATACAAAAATTACCGCGTTCTCGGTAATACAGACATGTTCAGAATCCCCTCAAGTACAGATTTGACAATTGCCGTCACGAGCTCCAATATTTCATTTCACCAGCGATCACCTGAAGATCCACTTGAAGACGCACGACACCCAGAGGCCTTATCAGTGCACGGCCTGTACGAGAGGCTACAGCTCAGCCGCGGCCTTAACGTCGCACATGCAATCTCACAAGAAGCATCACCAGTCGTCATCCTCTCAGTCGGCCGGTAAGCTCCAGGATGTCGATTACGGTAGGAGAAGCGTCTCCTCGCACAGCACGTCCTCGCCGCCGGTGCCGTCGTCGCCGTCGCCGTCGCTGAACCTCAGCCTGAACCCGAGGAACATCCTGAAGACGTCGCAAGTCACCGGCAGTGCCTCCACCACGCCGATTCTCAACTCGCCCCTGAAGCTCACGTGCATGTACTGCACCCGGGATTCGTTCAGCTGCATACAGCAGCTGCAGATGCACGTGCGTACGATGCACCAGGCCATCCTCAGCGGCGCAGATAGTGGTTTAGCGCGACCACCGTCGCCGAATAGAACGTCGAACGAGCAGCAGGCGGTGTTCTGCTCGCGCGACAAGCCGCCCGATTGTCAGGACGGGCCGAAGGACCCGCGCTCGGACCGGAAGTACCCGCCAGAGGAACGAGCTGACAGACCCGCCGGCGAGCGGGATCACTACGAGAACGCGTTCACCTGCGACCTCTGCACCATGAAATTCTCCACTCTGGCCTGCCTGCGCGACCACTCGCTCTCGATACACCGGGTCGACAGCGGCTTCGGCACGACGATGGTGATATGCCCGCTGTGCGGCATCCCGTGCACCTCGGCGGCGACCTACGCCGAGCATTACGTTCTCCAGCATTGCGAGAATCGCCGACCAGCGCCGACGACCGGTATGGATTACGGCGAGACGAAGCTGAACGGCGTTTACGACGGCGCCGCGATGAGAGACACCAGGATGCCGAAGAACAGGGACGTCCCCGAGGCCGCCGATCTCACGAACAAACGTCCGACCAGACCGTCCGCGGATGCCACCACCACTGCCGCCGCTAGTTACACCGCCGATACTCTTTTGTGCGGGCAGTGCAACGCCGCGCTGAAGGACTTCGAGTCCTTCCGCGAACACGTGGCTCGGCACCTGCAGGCCGACCACCGCAACCAGGAGATCTCCGCCCGGCAGCACTTGTGCCCCAAGTGCGAGGCCGTATTCCCGACCCGCGAAGACATGCTGGCACACCTGACCAAGCACTACCTGGGCCAGGTCAGCAAGGAATACGCATGCGGCGCCTGCAAGAAGCTCTATCCACATCCGGACCAACTCCAGAGGCATCTGCTCGACGCCCACGCGCATCATCTCTACCGTTGCGCCCTGTGCCGGGACACGTTCGACTCCAAGGTGGCGATACAGGTGCACTTCGCGGTCAAGCACAGCCAGGAGTGCCGAATCTATCGATGCAGCGTGTGCGCCGTGTCCAACAATGAGAACTCGCCGCCGGGAAGTGCGAACGCGGCGGCGGTTTCCGGCGACGGCAGGAGCTTCTTCCGGAGCGAGGCCGAGATCGCGGCCCACGTGCGCAACGTGCACGCGCCACCCTCCATCGTTTCGTCCCTGATGAACAGCAGTCCCGTCGGGGCTGCCACGAGAAGTCCGGCTTCAACGCCCGGCGTCGTCGGGGCGCGCTGCGTCTTCTGCGGCATCTGCTGCGGCTCGGAGCTCGAGCTTCAGCTTCACCTGGCCAGCCACTCGGCCAGTCTCTATAGGTGTCCCATTTGCAGGGAGGGTTTCGCGGTGGAGTTCCTGCTGGATCGACACGTAGCTCAGGTCCACCATCAGGCGGTGCAGGATCATCAGACGCCGTTGGTTAGGAACAGGGAAAACGGACGCGTTCAACGATCTAATAGAAATCAGGAGGAAGTAAGGATTTTAATTTGTTCGACAGCGATAGAATGAGAGAAAATTAATCAATATCAACGTGGCAAGGAAATAAATTTATTTTAAATAAAAAAAAAGGCTGGATTAGGCACCAACGTTATTTTAGCTTTAAGCGAGATTTAAACATGTATTTGTCTTTATTTTTCTTTCTAAATGATTAAAGACAGACACGTATTTAAGTCTCGCTTAAAGCCAAAATAACGTTGGTGCAATCGGACCTTGGACAAATAGTTACAATTACACGTTCTTAAACATAATTTTTACACTTTTGAACTCTGCATTCTGTACATTTAAATAATAAAAAAATTCTCTTATTTTACATCACACCGAGATATTCTGTACAATATGATATAACCGTAGAGGTACGCGTAAAATCATTTGATTTTTTTCTTTTCCGAAATCTAGGCGAAATCGTTGAAGAGAGGTCGTTCGCCAGCGTCGAGCAACAACAACTCCGTGAGTCAGCGCGACAACAACAACAAACGTTCGAATTACGGCAACTCCGGTCAGCAATGCGAGCTCTGCGAGCGCGGCGAATTCGCGAATGAAGCCGAGTTGCAGGCGCACAAGAAGCTCGCTCACACGCCACCCAAGCTATCCAACAAGAGTCTGTCCACCTTGAGCATGACGTGCGGCTATTGCGGCGAGATATGTCGCTCGAGAAGCGAGCTGGAATCCCACACGAGACTGCAGCACGCGTCCAACGAGCCGGGCGGACGTCACAAGTGCAACATCTGCGACGAGGTGTGTCCGTCCGGCGCGAGTCTGGCCGAGCACAAGCTGCAGAAACACTGCAAGATCCAGCTGAGCGACACGTGCGTGGTGTGTCGCGGTTGCCTCACGTCGGAGAGCCAGTTCCTGGACCACGTGCAGAGACACAGTCTGGAGAACGTGGACCCGCAGCAACGACTGGACAGCACGCTGCCCCATCTGCCCGCGCCATGCGTCGTCTGCCGTCAGACGCTGATCAGCGACCTGGAGTGTCGTCTGCACGCGCGACATCACCTACGAACGTCCTCGGGTTCTCGCAGCGCCGGCGCCAGCCCGGCCAGTCCCGGCGGCAAAGGCCAGAGTCAGGGTTGCTGCCTCTGCCTGCGCGACTTCGCGGCCGAGGACTTTGTCAATCTGCCGCCCAATCCCGCCAGCACGAGCGGACAGTTACTCAGGGTCTGCAAGCCGTGCTACATGCGACACTCCCAGGGTCTGCCTATTCTGAACTCGACGACCTACGAGCATCGGGCGAAATATGAGGCGACCTGGCTCGCGAACAAAGACGGCCAGTGGGACGGAGCTAAGGACAAGTGGGAGCACGAGAGAGGGTCGCTCAAGGTAGAGGATCGGCCGAGGAACGAGGGAAACGCGGATAAGAAGCGCTGCGAGGAGTGCGGGGTGAAGTTCGAGGATTTCGAAGAGGCGGAGAAGCACCGGCTCGCCGAGCACGAGAAGCCTGGCGGTGGTGGCTCGAATACCTACACCTGTATACAGTGTCAAGTTAGTGCAGAGCTACTATATACATTTTACATAATTTTCTCTCTCTTTTTCTTTCCCTCTGACCTTTACTTTGCTAAAATAACGATAATTAGAAAATTAAATTTCGATAAACGGAAAGTTTATTAATTTTTTGTTTTAAAATGTCAAAATCACAAGACCAGAATTTTCAAGCTTTTTGTTAAAAATATATAGCGCGGGAATATTTTTCTTATTTTTAAGGATGATATATCATTTTGAATTTATATTTTCAAACGTGGATTTGATCTTTCAAGATAAAGAAAAAAAATTTAATTCCTAGATGTCATTTCCAAGCGAGGCGAAAATTCAGCAGCACGTGAGAAAGGAACATTTGGATGCATCCGGAAAAGCGTCCTTGGAGGCTTTACGGTGCCACTTGTGCTTATTTGAGGCTGCGAGTCCTATGCAGCTGCAAATTCACTTAATAGAGCACACTTTCGCCGGTTGTGCCGCTCTTAGCTGTTACATCTGCCAGTCGCTCTTCACAACTCCCATTGGCCTTCAGGTACGACTCGACGCGACTGTCTGCTAATACGTCTCAAACGTGAAATAACAGTTATCCACTCGCATTTACGGTAACTGGAAAACAACCGTGGACTCTCGGAGAAGAAGAAAACGCTCGGATAAATAGCCTTGAAAATAACATGCGAGAAGGATAATTCTTATTGAAACGAGTTAATTCACTACTCTTTAAATGAAAATTTGACTTACAATCTTCTTCTTAACTCGCAAATACTCTAATGAATAAAATTCAGATTCTTTTTTCCTACACTTTAGCTGAACGATGGTTAATTACGCGGGAATCGCGTCATTTTCTTTTAGATTCGTCTCGTCTCATCGATTTTATTTACCTTTCCATACAAAAATCTCGAAACGCAAAGTTTATTATTCTGTTCTCTTTGTAATTCGGATATGGATCAATACGATTTTTTTTTTTTTGCAGAATCACATGCTGCAGGAACACGGTCTGGACGCGCGACCGTATGATTGTTCCAAGTGCACGCTAAAGTTCTTCTTCAGCGCGGAACTGGACCACCACGTGCTGACCTTCCACCGTTCAGGAGAAAAGACGCAGTCTTCATCGGGCGAGAATATTCGCGAGGTGAAAAATCACGAGTCCGAGAAGCGCGACGGCGGCGGCGTAACGGTGAAAGAGGAGGTAATACAAAGCGGCAAGGAAGAGGAGGAGGAAGAGGAGGAAGTGAACGTAGATCAGGTAGGACAAGCGGAACACGGGGAGGCTGGACGAGAGGAGCAGAAACTGAAGACGGAAGTGGACGACGAGGTGACGTCCGGCAGAATGGAATCGTGACTTTCTGCGTGACGTTTCGTTCCATTCTGGGATTAATTGATTATTAGCAATTTGTTGTTTAAGTTGTTCAAGCTGTAACGACATTAAGTGTTGGTGAATATTCCCTACGACAACGACAACGACATCGACTTGCAGACGGGGCTGTTGAAGTTCGACAGTATTAACTAAGAGTATTATCGATGAAGATTCCCGATGATTATCCCAGATGATTAGTTTTTTACACGGCGAAAATGGAACTTTGATTGTAAAACTGCGTGACGCCTCTTTTATCCTCAAATTCCGATGTCGATTTCAAGTTTAGCCGAATATTCATGTTCTCAAGAAACATAGGCTTGTTTATGTTAAGTTTGATGAGAGAATATCTGATATTAATCTCATGTCGTTTCAAACAAGTATGTTTAGTTTTATGATTATGATTATAGAAGTATAATGCCTAAACTTTTTCCTTTTCCGAGCGCTTCAATGATCAACGGCAAACGTCTGGCTGTTCTAACAAAGTTCGCCTGACTGTCAAAATTAAAGCAATCATAATCTTAAATATATATATATATATATATATACATTTATATATTGTATCAATACCGATTGTTATTAAATTTACGTTATACATGTTAATACTTGAATTAATGCTTGAATTTCAGAGAAAGGAGGATCTAAATCCTAAATTTCAATGAGTCGAATCCCAGATATTGGTACAGAAAAATCGATTTAATCTCTTTGTAAATGTATCAATCTTGAAATTATTTTCACACGCAAGTTACTCAGAAATTTTGTGAACAAAAGAGATTCTGAGTATCAAAAGTTAAAAAAAAGAGATTAAATCGTTTTAAATATATGTTAAATTCTCTATTTCTTTAATATTTATATAATATTGAACATTTGGTTGTTTTATTGATTTCTAATTATGTTCTCTAAGTGAAACAATTATTAATTATTAATTATTAATTATTAATTGGTTTGTTATAATCGGGTGCTGAACTCGAGAAGATGATAATCTTCTTCACAAATGGAATTTGTAAATATCACAAACAGAGGTATATTATAAATGTTCTATCGATTTATATATCAACGACATAAGCGATGAAATCATTGGTATTTAAGAGGAAACGCAATAACTTGTCCATTAGATGTATAGCGATAAAATAGTTCTGTACGCAATAAGATTATTGTTTCAAAAACTCTGCGTACTGTATATACAGTAAACTTGTCCATTGGGCGTGCATATATATATATATATATATATATATATATATATATATATATC